ACAGGGCTGGGCAAGGGGGCCCAGCAGGCCCCCACCTTGGGGCTCTAGGAGTGGCCGGCAGGTCCTGCTCCTCCATCAGGACAGTCTTCACAGGTGTAATGGAGTGTGAAGCCAGGCCGGCTCTGCGTGTCCTGACAGAACCGGGCAGGGGCTCTCTGGAGCAAACTTCCAAGATGCTGGGAGCCCCATTCTCACTAACATCGTGGGCTCTGAGGTCCCACAGATCATGTTGCTGAGGCCAGGACCATAGCTAATGGCTGCAACTGAGCGTCACCGTTTGTTTTCTCACTAACATGGTGGGCTCTGAGGTCCCGCAGATCATGTTGCCGAGGCCAGGACCACAGCTAATGGCTGCAACTGAGCGTCACCGTTTGAAGAAAACCTTCCTGGATCTTTCCATGTCTGCTGTCCCCTCTATTCTTTCCCGGATGTCACACACGAAAGCTCATGGGTCCTCACCAACCGTGCACCTCTGTTCATCCTAAAATACACCCACGAAAACTAGGTGCTGTGCCTTAAGTAGGTAGTGACAGGTCGAGGCCAAAGTGCAGAGAATGGAGGGACACATTTCATTTCTTACTTTTATGCCATGATTAAACTTTGCTACTTGAGGCTCTGCATTTCTGGGTAGGGATGGCTTGTCTGGGGTATGCAGAGTCAGGGTTCCATCTTGATGGAATCTGGGCAGTTTCAATGGGCCCGAGCTGCCGCTGCCTGCAATGAGCCACCGTGGGAGGCTGACTGCCTGATGTTGGTCTTCTCTTTGGGCACCCTGGTTCTTTCTCAGGTGAACCAGAAAGTGCATGTCTTTATTTTCCTTTTGTTCTTTTTTGGTCTCAATACAATTCCAAAATGCTTCCATCATCCCCACCGAGTGGAGCCATGGAGCCCACCCCGCTAGTGGGCGGAAGCCAAGGAGGAGCAGAAGCTTCGGCCCAGGAGAAACCTGGACTTGTCTCAAGGGGTAATCATTAAGATGCTTATGAGTCATTTCCAAAGATGATTTGAAGGCTTCGACACACTGCTGGGCAACATTTTGTCAGTAACCCGCCAGGTCCTGAGAGGCAGTAACTCACTCATAGCATGAAGGGACAGGATGTGAGCTGTTTTTTTTTCCCAATGTTTGCAAAGTGACATTGCCTGCCTAACGCTGACCCCAACCTCTCCCAGCCGTCCCCGCAAACATAAACTGAAAGCTCCTCAAGCCCAGATCACTAGCGGGTGAGGAGCATTAATTTCGTTTATAGTTGAGGTTCTAATGGGCTGAAAAAAATTTCCTGCTGTAATTGGAATATAGATTCACCAGTTTTATTGAATGTCAAAGCACATTACCCCGCACAGCTGCTGGAGAGGCACAGCGAGCTGCTGCTTCTCTTCCATGACAAACACCTATTAAGCAGTCAGCATAAACCCTTCCCTTACAACCTCTGACATCACCCTCAGGGCAGGCAGACACAGAACAGCAATTGCTGGATTGCGTATGAAAATTATAGTTTTATTGTCTATACAGCTGAAGGTTTAACTCGGACTCCTGCCTCTGCCCGGGCTGTATAAAGAAGCAATTCTTCTTGCAGAACAAATAAGCACAGTACACTATTGTAATCTAAGAAACAGGCACCATTTATGTATTGGGAAGCTGCTCTCAATAGGGCTGACAGTCTAGTGGCTCAGAAGCCACTATTCGAGCAGCTGTAGGGAAGAAAGCTATAGAAGTCATAAGGAATGAGAAACGACAGGCAGCGGGGACAGGCGGTCACGGCCGCGCTGCCCGGGGAGGCCTTCCTCTGGTTAGCACTCCACGGTTAGTTGAGCAGGCAGGACTCGTAGGTGGGAACCATGTACTTGATGTTGATGAAGGCGTCTTCTCCTCCATAGCGCTCGAAGGCTTCCAGAGTCTCCTGGATCAGGTCACCGATGTTCTCCCTCTTCTGCTGGCTGTAGTCGATGCCGTCCCCCGAGTTCACTGATTCATGCAAACACACAAAGAGGCCAGTTAGTTCTTCACAGTCCCCCAGAGTCCATGTCAGTCTAGGCATTTTTTCTGCATGCTTATTAGGAGATGCAAACATTGAACATTTTCACATGGTTTTACAGAGTTTTAGGAGTGGTGACAACTACAAAATTACTAAGTCCTAGACTGGAGCTGACGAAAAGTATTCTAAAGTAAAGAGATAGCAGAGGAAAGGAGCGAGTGTTAATCACAGTTACGGGACACATGAGCACATGCGGCGCTCCCTTGGGTCTTCCGTGTTTTGGACTTACACATGGCATATATATATATACTAATTATTTATTTAATTCCATTTGTTATTATCATTTCTTTTAATTTGACCAGAGAGAGATAGACAGAGAGAGAAAGGGAAAGCAAAAAAGCACACCACCAGGTCTGGGGCTCGAACTGCGGTCGGCACAGTGGGACTCCAGCCCTTTAACCCCCATGCCACCTGCCAGCCCCCAGTGTGGCGTATTGAGAAGGAACACTCTGTCGTCAGATCGGGCCCTTCGTCCTGTGTGGTATACAATGGAGAGACTGGAAGGAGAGGCTGAGCCCACCCCGTCTTTGCAGTTCTCATATACACGATGCACTCTTTCTCCTGGGAAGTGTCAGGGGCCCGAGAGCTCAGTTATCTGGAATTATTCCGGACGCAGGTGGGAACCGAACACACTGCTTTCCTGCCGGGCAGCTCCGGATCGGTCACAGAATGAACAATGGCAATTACGGTCACGGCTCTGCAGGGAGTTTATGCCGCTGCCAGTTTTGGAATCTCCAAGCCCAGGGAGCTAGGTCAGCTGCAGCAGTGGGCCTGGCGGACCCACCTGAGGCCTGGACACCCAGAGCCTGCAGGTGACTGCTGCGGCTGCCTCTTGGGTGCTACGGGGGAAGGGAGTCCTGGGCGGCCTACGGCCAAGATCCTCTCCTCATGCTGCAGACTTCACCTCAGATGTTTGGATGAGATGGACCTGGTTGCACCCACACTACGATGTCTGGAGGGGTTGCCAAGGTCATGAGAGTGACGAAAATAGCCCAGACTATACAAGTTCTATTTTTCCTCTGAATAATAGTCATTACGAGCTCTCTGCTACGTTCCGCGAGCAGCTTTCCAGGTGCTTCCCCGACACTGACCCTCCCAGCAAGCACGTGGTTATTTGTCTGGATCCGGTGTGAGCTCACACCCCCAGCCTTTTCCATGATGGAAGCAACCTGTACAAGGTGGGCGAGAGCAGCCGGAGCTGGGGAGGACTTCCCAGGCCCAGGGACGCTACAGGGCCACCTGCAAGTGCGTCTCACCAGAGGAGAGATTCGTTTTAGCCATATTTCAGATATAGCCCCCACATTTTATCTCGTATGAATGTGAAAACAGTAAAAGGAAAAAAAGGTGTTTCAAACCCCGAGCCCCTTGCTACTCGGGAGGGCTGGAAAAGACGGAGTGATGGTTCAGACCAGAATGAACAGAACAATCACAGTCTCGCACAGCACAGACGAGCGGTTCTTGGGTTCAATTTTCTTCCAGGAGCTGCTTAGAGAACTATCACTATCTCCTGTAATGTAGAGAAAATGAATTGCTGCACTGATTGGTTTCTTTCGGTAGGGGTGAAGGCGGAAGAAATATTACTGACTTACAGGGAGGCAGATTGTGAGCCAGACAACTGGAGAGTGTATTTTTCATAACAAATGAACTGAAATGGTTCCCAAAGCCCTCACAATTAGGCGGCTTTTCCCTCCCCATAGTGGAAACCTTTCTGTTGTCACATGGAAAGCTGGATTTAAGTTAACTTCAAGTTTGGCTTGTGGAGCAGATGACCGTCCAAAATACATAATAGTGCTACAGAACAGACAAGGGAAGATTTCTGAACGAAAGGGTTCTTGCCCTGTTACTTTGGAGTGAAACAACAAAGATAAACATTTTAAAAACAAAATTGTAGCCAAATACACATTTAAAGCAAACAGGCGTTTTAAAGAAAGATGTGCGTGGGGGTCTAGGAAGAGGCAGTGCAGCTGGCAGCGCTGGACCAGACGGGACAACCCAGCGTCGCTCCACTTTGCTGAATTGACCAAGAGGAAAAGGTCTTTGAGTTGCGTTACCAGAGGAGTGTGTGCGTGGTGGTGTGGTTTTGGGGGGTGGGGTGGGTTGATGGCAATTGTTACTGGTGTGAGGAATCCCAAGAAAGAGCAGGACAAAAAGTAGCAAAGGAGTCAGAAGGGACAGGAGGGAACACACCCTGTGACAATGGAGCGCCAAAGCAGGGACCTGCCAGGGGCAACCTCGGCTTCCTGGTATTCCATCGGAGCAGAAAGAAAGTCCCATGGGAGTCTTTGACTGATCCTCAAATCCCTCTTCCCCCAAATTACATTGTTGATAAACTCCTCCTGGCCACCACAGAGATGGGCCCAGGGAGATGGACCCACGGGTCCCACCCTTGTTGACGAAGGACAGCTGAGCCGAGGTGCAACCCCTGGGGGCATGTGGAAAATGCAACTGGTGATGATGTCAAGTTGGGGTGGCCTGGGACAAAGATGAATATGCTAATCACTCATAAATGGTGCCTTTTGTTGGCATATTAGTCAAAAGGTCAAACGCTGAATAGACCACTGGACAGGCATATTTTCCTGACGGAGGCAGGGCGCTCGGAAAGTCTGCACACAATGGAAGGCTGAACACACCCTGCTTTCCCCTGCCTTCCAGAAGCAGGACCGACAAGCAACACTTTATTTCATGTTCTCACTTTTCAAAAAATATTTAAGTGTAGGAGTAAGTAGACTATGTAGCTCTTTTGTTTCTCAACAGAGTATAATCCCAGATGATAACAGAACAGAATAGAAGTTGTTTATTCAAAATGTGAGTTGGAGTTGGAATATCTTGCAGTTGCAGAATGTGTATTGTTGGGGCAGCAAAAAAGACTGTGAAAGCACCACATCCCGTACTTCATATGCTGTCGTGATGACACTGCACCGCTCGGTGTCAGACTGTGTTGAGAGGCAGGTGAGTACTGTGGTCTCTATTTCAAAACCGCTGTATTGTCAGTTTCTTTGAGAACTTGAAATCGAGGTGATTAGTTTCTGCTCACCCTTTTAAATACATACAACACTGATGGGAAATACGTTTGTGAACACTTTGCTTCAAATAAAAAAAGCAACTGGATAGTTATTTACGATTGTCAATTCTGATTAGGAAGATGACATTTCAGTTTAGGAAACCAGGAGTCTATTTTATGTCCAGCATCTAGAAAGATGGAAAGAGATGTTTTATTTATAACCTACCAGACAGGACTAGAGCAATGGTTTGAACCAGACTTTGGGCTTCTAAAAGGATGATATGCAGAGAGAACAAGGGATTTAGTTCCTATTCTCAGAGATTCCTGCATGCAGGAGGCATGCGAATACACCCTGAAAGTAGTTTCAGGGTGTATTTTAAAATCATTTTAAGGGCATTTATTGCTCTGAATGTTGAATTTTCTTTGATTTATGTGAGCATTATAACATACACCCTCTTTTCCTACCCAAATCTCTCTAAATTGTTCTGATTTTTCCTTCCTAGGTGGCATTTTTATCAGGGATATAGCTTCATGGAGACTACAACAAATTCGTGGAAAAACAGAAATAATTTTGGTTCAAAATGTTTTGACCTCCATGTCTAGCTTTTTGCATAACACTCACTTTCTGTGAACTTTTCGAAGACCTCTGGTACATCTGAGTCTCCTCTCCAGACATGGCATGTCCTGGGGCACGCATTCGGCTTGTGACTGTGACGTGACTGTCAGGGCACCTTGGCACCCGGGGCCACGGGAAGGGGGAGGTCACATGTGACACGCTCACAGTTTACACAGATATCTGCGGCTCAGTGGACACAGACCAGCTGCTGGCCTGGATCACAAAGCATTTCGATGAAATGCTCTCACCCTGGTTTCAATTTTTGGATTGAGTGGAAGCCTCATTCTCTTCTCTTCCTTAGTTAGTACTATGACAGGAAAATGAGAAACAAAAATCAAAAGCAAGGGAAGCAAAGCTGGAAATAAAGGACAGTTTTTGTGGCCAGAGCCAGGTGCCGCTGGATCCGTGCGTGGTTGGGGCACCACGTCTTCGCACGGAGGAGCGAGTGCCGGGTGGCGGCGGCTGTTGTGGTCATTCTTCCCGCTTACCCTCCACAGTGTGCGGGCTCTGTCCGGCACCAAGAGCAGGCTGTAGGACAGGCTCCTGACTCTGGGGGTTCCTTAGATATGGCTGAGGAGGCCCACCACTCGCTGCCCCTGTCAGCTACAAAGGCCACTCAAACCCACCCTGGAAATACAGACAGCCTTATGCACCCTGCACCTGGCCAAGCCTGCTCCTCCTGGCTTGGCTTTGCCACTGGGACCTGTCTCAGAGAACGCTGACCCATTTCTTTTCATCAGACACTGGGGTTTCTTATCTTAGAGTTTTAGTGACAATTGTGCATGTGGTCCCCAGGAGCCACAAGGAAAGTTTAATTCAAATTTGGATCTTTCACACTCTTGTGGTTTTTTTTTTTTTTTTTAAATACTGTTAAATGTTTACTGTATGGCTATTCTTACATGAACATTAACACAAAAAGGAGTTATTTGGAAATAAAAGCCTTATTTCAGGCATTGAAGTATAAAACAAACAAGTGCTTATTTCAGATACCTGGCTCAGCGAGTGTGGGGTATTATTCATTTGGTTCTAAACAGAGGGCTTCATTATGAAACGCACCTGTGCTCTCCGCTAGTGATGAAGTAAGTGGGTCTGATTTTAGGGAGAAACACTTTGGTTAATTTTGAACTTTTGTCCCTGGGGCAGCAGCTTTGCCTTCTCAGAGGGAAGATGGAGACACACAGTCGGTCCCAGACCCTGTTCTCACTTCTGCAAGTGCTGAAGAGCTGGAAGCCTTTAGAGTCAATGTACCAGACTGGTCCCCATGGCCTAGTGAGTAAGGAAGCCAGGCCTCACATGGCCAACTGTGCGGTTGG